TATCATACAATACATTATTAAATTCACGATTTTTTATTACATAAATGTTTCATAAATAAATATGTATACTTGTAAAGTTGTAATATCCTATATATTGTAGAAAAATTACAATTTTTTTTCTCTGCAGTTATCATCTCTGTTGATAATCAAACTTTGACGATAACACTGAAATTACAATTTTATAGAAAAATCGAGTATTATTGAGTTCTAAATGCATAAATACGTCTACTTAACTAATGAATCATAAAATTAGTATAATATTATCAGTTTTTAACTCTTAATTATTTCAATATTCACAAGGACGCGAACTCCCATAAAGATATCCGTCTTTAGTAGTATCTTGTTGGTGATATGGTTTACATCCTGCGTCAAGTACAATTACAGTAAACCTCACGAAATGTCAGACGCTGATTTTTTAAAAATTTCTTACAATTATTTTTTTATATCAAAATATGAAGAAATCTTGTCATTAATTTTAGCTTAAATTGAGCCTCTTAATTACAATTTATTTTATTTTATTGTATATAAATATCTTACGTAATTATTTTATCCAATAAAATTATTTTCAGATTTGTATCTTATTAAATTATTAAACACTTCAACAAAATCATCCTTTTCGTGTGATTTATTATAGTTATTATAGTTTCTATTAAAGTAATAAATACGAAAATGAAAATCATTTAAAAATTATATTATTTAAAATTCATTCAAATGTGTGTGTGTGTAATATACGTATTATTATATACATCAAAGTATATTGATTATCGTTATATTTATTGGAAAATTAAAACTGACGGGTTTTTAATATACATAGCAGCAAACAGATTGCAGCGATATGAAGAAATGCGGAGTGGGAATGTTTACGGGACAAACAGAGCACATGGAATGTCCGGACGAAATTAAGATCTTTCTTGAAGTCTCAGTGAATTTCAAACGACGATACGAGCAAACTTTTCTGGAAAATAGCCCACATATTTCGATACGCAAGCGATTACGGAGTGATTCGGTATAATAAATATTGCACCAACGTCTAGACTCGTTTTTACACTTAAGTGCTCAACGAATAAAAATGACATGATATATAAAAATGATATACTTCCCCTCGAAGACCCTCGACAGTCACTGAACATTGTGTATTACATACATTTACAGTCTATGTAAACGCAAAGGGAGATTCATGGAACAAAATAAATTACTCCAAGTTCCAAACTCAGTCGGGTGTAACTATTTTAAAATCCAATTTCTGAACAACTCTTCAACTGACGGATTTAGTTTCAGTTAAAAATTTGCCTTCGCGCCGCTATTTGCGTAGATTATTTTCATGGTAATATAACAATTAGAATTTAGAATTTCAAGCGGATTTAAAAAATTTGAATAATTGAATATTCTTTTTTCCCCTGAATTTCTTTCTTGAATTTAAATGACTGAATAAGAGGAATTTCTGTAAATTAGTTGGCTATGATTGCAAATTTCTCGAATCGTTTTCCAAATCCATTCTTCTCTCTCTCTCTCTCTCTCTCTCTCTCTCTCTCTCTCTCC